TGGTCTTCCTTACTTTCTCTTGAAATTCTTCGAGGCACTCAAGATGAGGAGCGCTATCCGACACTAGAGGGAAGAAAAGAAGGTCACATGAACGGGAGGGTTTGTTTCGGTGTTTAATGTGGGACACAGGTGTTTCTACTGCAGATCCTTTCATCGGAGTTCAGTGTCAACTATAAGTTACTGAAATGCTTCAAGCATAAAACGACACATTTGGTCCCACATGCCAACTATTTTTTGGACCTTTATTGAATCTCTAAGCACTCAAAGCTTAAGTAGTACAATCCTGCTTTCACTTCACCAGATGGTATTCAAGGGATTGGAGCTCAGTGCTGCAGAATGCCATTTTCCATCATCTTGGGCCTATGTACGTTTGATTTTAAATAGCTTTAACAGTTTATTTTAACTGTTAAGCCATTTTTTCTCTGCCAGACTTTGATCTGACTTCTAGCCACTGGATCAAAACAGAACAAATGTCAATGTCAATCCTCAGTAACTTACATCATATCTAAAGTTTTACAAGAGAAATGAAAGTCCTTGCTATTCCAAGAGTGATATTTATGGATCTTATTAACTGAGACTCAAATCACAAATAGCACACAGTCCTCAGTAGCTGTAACAGCTGGTGTCATGAGGATCTCCACCAAGAGTGGTCAAAGGAAAAGAAGGACCCCATGCTCTCTACCGTCAACCTTGTCCTTGCTTCAACAGCGAGCTACCTGTCTGCATCAGATTTCCAGGTCTTTGGCAGAGTTTAAGAAGCAGAGCCCATGATCAGAGAGAGGAAGGGTAGCACAGAACTCTTGGCTCAATGTTTATCCTGCAGATTGCATTTAATATCAAAGACCATGTGACAACATGTTAATAAAGGACACACAATTTAGAGAAATTTGGAACACTAGGTAAGAGGTTTGTTGGCTTTGCTTAAATACTAATGTTCAGCTGGAAAAGATACTGCAGGGAAAAAACCAAAAACACAAACATTTGTACATGAACTAGATTCTCAAAATATAAATTCTACAAGGGAAGGAACTGGGGCACCACGCAGCCAGGTCAGCAGCTCGCCTGAGTGTCCTTCAGTTAAAGGCTCTCAAATAATAGCACAGGTCTAAGGACCATTTTTATGAATTCTAATAAACTAGAAGAATAAAAGAGAAATATATTTCCATTCTCTTATTGTTCACAATATTACAACTACACATATGTCTTCTGAGTCAAAGGCCTTTTAGTCTGCTGCAGAATCATTTACTAACCTACATGATCAATGTTTGGGATATTCAGATAGTTTCTTGTTGGTTTTTATTTTTTGGTATCAAGGATTGAACTCAGAACCTGGCACTTGCCAGGCAGGCACTTATGCCACTGAGCTATCTCCCCAGACTGTTATTTTCAAATAACGAATTTAATGGAAGGTAAATTATCACATTCTAATTATTTTACACTTGATTTTAAAGTCACCTATTTGGAAAATGATAATATTCACATCAGGTAGGCATATGTTTTATAGCTTAGTTTTAAGTTCTCTAAAAGGGTAATTTGTATTTGCCTATGAAATGCAATGACCTTTGTTCCTTTAGACTCTGCAGCTACTATGGCACTGGGCCATCCTGAAGAGGTGTTAAAGTATGCTCCTAGATAATATCTATAAATCAAAACCACATTCACATCCTTGAGAAGACAATAACTCAAGAAGCAAGACCGGAAAAGGAAACTTGTGGGGATATTTCCTTCACATTCTGATTAAAAGAACACTTGGACAGGCCAATTTTAGACGCAAGTTAAGAAACACGAGTACATACCTTCATAGTCCCCTGCTTCGTTTAGATGCAAGGAAAACATAAAGGGGCTTTCAGGGTGCTTAGAGTCAATATTGGTGAATATAAACTGCAATTTATCTCCTGAAAAAGAGATGAAGTGTTTTAGCATGAGAATATTTTATACATCAAAGCTCTCAACTGAGCTGTTTTCTTATACCTTATCTTTAACTAATACTTCCAGTGCTAAGTGTGTGTATGTACTTAACCAGTATCTCCAAATGTGAAGCTTAGCTTTAACACATATTAATATCTTGAAAGATACCAAACTCACAGGCAACAAAAAGAAAAATTTAATTGGACATTATTGAAATTAAAAATTGTCTTCCAAAGGCACCATCAAGAGAATGAAAAGATAATTCATAAAATGGGAAAAAAATTGTAAACGATATATCCAAGTGCTTTCTTTCTCTCACTCAACAATCACCGCAGAGCCTGTCTGTGGCCATTAGGAGTCCTGCAATGGACACCCACTAGAGACTCTCTAACTCAATTTAGTTTGGATTCTATCCACTTGGACACGGTGTGTTGCTCCATCTCCTTGGGTTTGGTTAAATGCTTCTGGGGCCTCTTCAGACACACTCCCCATAAAGTCCCAGAGCCCAGTCTTTTTACAAAAGCCTTTTTTTGGGGGGACAACTGATAAAATCTGCAGCTACTAGTGATCACTCAACAGAGGCGTCCTCCCTCACCTGTTCCCCAAGGGTGGAAAGGCTGACTAGGCCTTTCCCCATCATGAAAGAAGCAGCCAGGGGCGGCCAACCATCAGCCAGCTCATCAGCAAATAAAAATGACATATGTCACTCTAGAACTCCAAGGATTTTAGGAATCCTACACCAGGAAACCAGGAGGTGGTCCAAAGAGCTATTTCATAATATCACTCTTCCTTAAAGCATTATTTCCTGACTTTGATGGCTAGGAGGAAGTTCTTCCAGTCTAAAAATAATTCTGAAGTCTTAAAATTGTTTATTTAATGCAACACTAAACAAAAGAAGAAATTTCCCAGGATAACAGCGAGCATCTACTTAGAATTGAACACCCTAAAAATTCACATATTCCCATTTAATTAAAAAGTTAATGTTTTGTTAAAAAAAACTCACCCCAACTGATAGGAAGAACACCAAGACTAGCAGATATACAGGTAAAGGACTCAAATAGCAAAGAAAAGAACATAATTAATAAACAAGTAGAAAAAAGGGCACCTTCTCCTTAATAAGCAAAATTTTTTTTTAATATAAAAGTTCTATTCATACCCTATCAACTGCCAAAAAAAGAAAAAAAAAAAAAACTTCAAGAAAAATATTCTGGTGATGAGAGAAAAATTCTGAGACATTCTACGTTTAAGCAGAAGTAGCGGAGGTGAGGAGACTCGTGTGATCAGTTAGTTAACAAGCCACGCGCTGACCATGCGAGCGCCTCACACTCTAGAATGTATGTCACAAACCTGCATCCCATCGCCTTCTCTAGATGCCACATCCTGCTCACAAACCCAACTGATCTGAAGCAGCAGCTACGTCCCTCACAGACTGCCCTCCTTTCATGTAGTCCCTCTGCTCACAATTACAGCCAGTACAGGCTCAACGCAACTCTTCTTTCCCCCACTTTTTATTATTAAACAAAACGCCCTTAAGCTCTGGCCTGGTGAACATTTCCCAAATGCCACCTACTCCAGCCTGCTGCTGGCTGTGGGAACTTATCCCAGAATCTGTCTTTTGTTTCTGTAGCATCTGTAACAGCTCAATATACTCTTTTCTTTCAGAGATTGCTCCATCTTGAGTTTTGCTTTAACACCATCAAGAATACAATGAAAAGGGGTGGGTCCCCAATATCCCCCTAGGTCTGATAATTGACTAGGACCTGCAAAAGGATACAGAAATCAGCAAAGGGATAAGATGTGTGAAGCGGAGTCCAAGGAAAACCTGGCACAAGCTTCCAGAGTCTCTGAGGAGTTTCTAGTAGGCAACCCTTCATTCACACAGGTTGCCACAATTTGACGCCTATAGAAATTGTGTCCTGTGTGATTTCCCTAGGTTTTTAAAAGCTTGTTCCTAATATCCTCTAGACTCTGTACTGTGTGCCTTTTTTTCCTGGTCCTGTTTTGCAACCTTTTGCTGCAATGATTTTTAGCCATGAGAATGATGACAGCAGTCCTCCCTCAACAGTGGTGATTTCAGTTCCCTACAGTCAACTAGGGTCCAAAAATATTCAACAGAAAATTCCAGAAATAAACAATTCACAAGTTTTACACTATACACCATTCTGGGAAGTATGATGAACTCTCATGCCATCCCATTCTGCCTGCCAGGATGCAGAGCATCCCTATGTCCAGAGCATCCACTCTGTGTACACGACCCACCTGCTGGTCACTGTGTGCTGTCTCAGTTATCAGACTGAC